AAGCTGTTTTTAAAAAGTAACTTTTCAAGTAAAATTCAAGGATATAGCCATGTCAGTTTGTAGAATCAGTGTGTAGAGAGATCTTGTAGCACCTTTGAGATTAACAGAAAGAAATTGGCAGCATGAGCTTTCTTAGACTTTAGTCTACTTGCTCAGATGTATTTTCAAATGAAAGGAAAAGCAAAATTTTCCAAGTTAAAAGGGTGGTCTGGGGAAGAGGGAAATGGACTTTTGGCAGCTTTTTAACCTTCATCTATCTTCCTAGGGACATTCATCCTGCCACTAGGGCAAGTTAACTTCGCCCTCATGTGGCCAACAGAGGTTATACCATATGTATATGTATATGTATACGTATATGTATGTGTGTGTGTATTCTCTAGTAACCTCACGCAATCAGATGGTAAGCTATATAAAAGTGACAAAAGAATATACAGTTAAGTTCCTCAGTTAAGGAAGCAGATGTGTTCCTGGGTTTAAGAGAAAATTTAGTATCAGAGGCAGAAATAACATGGAAAGAACAGGGAAAAGTTCCTACACAAATTTCAGCAAACTTTTTTAAATCCAAAACAAACAATATACATACCTGAAATGAAACAGACAAGGCAGCTATGCATCTCTAAATAAAAAATATTGAATTCTCTGGAGACCATTTAAAAGCTTTTCCCACTTATCCAAAGATACAAGACCAGTTTTCCAAACATTAGCCACTTCAAGCTGAGCTGCTGTTAACAGAAACGAAATCAACTTCCTATTTTTCAAAGATTTATTACTCTTTGTGAATATTGAAAGTAGCAAGAGAGCTGGGCAAAAGTTTATTTTTTGTTTGGTAATTGAGGCAATTTGATTAATCACTTTATGCCAAAACTGATTAATTTTAGGACAGTTGATCCACATATGTATATATGTCCCTAAGGCTGAGCATCCTCTCCAACATAGAGGTGACATATATTTTATTTTATCATCTACGATTGTCTAATAGGGGTCATATACCTTTTGTGAATTAACTTTAAAAAGTTCTCTCTGGTCAAAGCTGATTTTGATTTCAACGTGGGAGATGACCAAATAGTAGACAATCAGATTCTGAAATTAATATATTGAATTCATTCTCCCAAGTTATTTTAATACAGTTAATATTTTGATATGTTTCTATCAGGGTAAAGTGATAAATTTGGGAAACTAAGGGGGGAAGCAAACGAGGGCCTCTGGGACACC